CACACACACACACACACACACACACACACACACACACACACACACAATCTGTTAACTGGATATAGTAAGTTTGTCCCTGATCACTTCCTGGAGGCCTTGAACTTGCTAGGCAAGTGCTCTACCACTGAGCTAAACTACCCCAAACCCCAGTAAGTCTGAAACTACTTTGGGTACAAAGCAAAGCAGAGGAGTCCGATCTCCAGTGTAGCAAATCAACAGAAAGGAGAGGCAGCTGTGAAAGACGGTTTTCACATCAGAAGACAGTAAACAAGCAAGATGCATGTGGCACCCACATATAACCTGAACCCCTTGGGAGAACAGAGTGGGAGGACCTTCAATTCAAGGCCACTCCAGGTTACACAGTGACATCTCCTATTTAAATTCTTTGTAGACTAATTTCTGTGTATAGGTATTTTGCCTATGTATGCCTGTGACCATGTATGTGTGTCTAGTGCCTACAAAGGTCAGAAGAGGGCAGATACCCTGGACCTGGAGGTGCAGATAGTCATAAGGGTGCTGGGAATTGAACCCAGGTCTTCTGGAAGAGCAGCTACTGCTCTTAACTGCTGAGCCACCTCTCCACCCTGAGATCTCCTCTTTTTTTTTTTTTTTAAAAAAAAAAAAAAAAGCAGGAAATGATGGCTCAGACCTGTAGTCCTAGCTCCCAGGGGTCAGACGCAGGATCACTGCAAGTTTGAGGCAGTCAGATAACTGCTTCCTAAATAGGCTATTTAGCAAGGACTTGTCTCAAAAAAGAAAAAAGAAAAGGAAAAAAAAAGGAAGAAAGGAAAAGAAGGTAAGTTTCAAATAGTTGGGTCTGTGATAGCAGCAGGCAGATCTCTATGATTTTAAGTTCAACTCACTATAGTAAGTTCCAGGACAACCAGAGCTACATATGGAGACTCTGTGTCAAAAAATACTTTAAGCTGGGCAGTGGTGGTGCACACTTTTAATCCCAGAACCCAGAAGGCAGTCAGGTGGATCTCTGTGAATTGGAGGCCAGCCTGGTTGACTGAGTGAATTCCAGGATAGCCAGTGCTACACAGAGAAACCCTGTCTCAAAAACAACAAAAAAGGTACAAGGAAGAAGGAAGGAAGGAAAGAAGGAAGGAAGGAAGGAAGGAAGGAAGGAAGGAAGGAAGGAAGGAAGGAAGGAGGCAGGCTAGGCTGGCTCTTCCAGTGCTGATGTACGGTCCTAATATCATCGGAGGGGTTCAGTCATGCATTTTGTGAGCTAGTCACCTCTCTTGGAAGCGAGAGGTGGGACACGCAGTCAGTTTCTCGTTGGTGTGGATGTGTATGCGTTTATGGCTCAGGGGTTAACAGCTGTGTTTCTCGATCATTTCATGATTTTAATTTTTAGACCTTTTTAACTTATGTATTTAACACATACAGGCAGGTGTTCTTCCTGCATGTATACCGGAGGAGGGCATCAGATCCCATAGGACTATAGTTACAGATGGTTTTGAGCTATCATGTGGTTGCTGGGAATTGAACTCAGGACCTCTGGAAGAGTAGCCAGTGCTCTGAATCTCTGAGCCATCTCTCCACCTTTTTTTTTTTTTTTGGTTTTTCGAGACAGGGTTTCTCTGTGTAGCCCTGGCTGTCCTGGAACTCACTCTGTAGACCAGGCTGGCCTCGAACTCAGAAATCCGCCAGCCTCTGCCCCCCAAGTGCTAGGATTAAAGGCGTGCGCCACCACTGCCCAGCTCTCTCCACCTTTTGAGATAAGGTCTCAACTGAATCTGGGCCTCTCATTCAGACTTTAAGTAGCCTACTGGCCTGTGAATTCCAGGGATCTGCCGTCTCTGGCTCTAACACCAGGGTTTCTCCAGGGCTGGATTTTTAACATGAGTTCTCGGAATTCAAACTCATGTCTTCATGTTTGTACAGCAAACACTTTGCCAAAGGACTCACCCCTACCAGGCCTACTGTCTGAACACTGTTCCCCTCTCAAATGAATCAGGGATGACAAGGTCCCAAGCAGAGAAGCCAAGAGAAATCTGTACCCTGCAGTGGGGAGGCAGGGTGTGCTAAAACCAGAGAGTAGCCTGAAGGGCCCAGAAGCCAAAGAGAAGCATCTTCAATTGGAAAGAATTTTTGCGTCAATACTTTAAATTTTGTAATAAATCATAAGCCTGACTGATTCCACTGTATGCGTAGTCTGAGAATCCTTTCACCCATGCCTCCCCTTTCTGGCAGAAACGAGGCCCCCAGGGACGCCCCCTCCCTATTGCTGACTTCCTCCTGAGGTGAGGCACTGGACCATCCACGTGGGGTTCTGCCCACAGTTCATAAGCCTGCCCAGGACACTAAAACAACGTCTGAGACGTTCTCCACCAATCCCTTTATTGACTTGCGACAGCACTGTAAAGGCAGACATGCCCATCCCGATGAACCCAGCCCAGCTCCCCCGTCCCTACTAGTGTTCCACAAATCCTGCACTGTCCACGACCCAGGGAGCTCACAGGCTGTCCCGACACTGCAGCTGCTCTCAACATCCAACAAGGAGGAGGCTGGTTTCAGGAAGCCTTGTGGGGCCCATGCTTAGATTGTACTGTGGTCCCCACATCCAGGGCCAACAATTCCAGCTCCCGCCTATAACATCAACTTGTAATGTGGAATACCCAAGGGCTCCAAAGTGCAGAACAGAAGAAACCAAACACAGGTGGTCTCCAAGCTTGTGTGTAAACCTGTGGGCAGCGCTGCACTGCTCAGCCTACAGGGCTGTGAAATCCGCTGTGCTTCCTACTTTGGCAAAAGAACAAAATCACCAGGAGTTTTAAGAACATGAGTAAACTTCAGGAGATAGAAAATAAAACAGCAGTCTGTACAGTCTCCGGGCTGCCCAGTCAGCCGCACTACCTGCTTGCTGCCGGCTTCCTCACTGTGGAAGGATGTAAGAGTTTGCTGCCAGCAGCCACAAGTGACTGACCCTGGCTCTCCCTTGGAGAAGGCAGAAACAGCAGCCTTTGTCTAAAAGGACAGGAGAACCAGCTATTCAAGAATGAGCAGCTCTAAAAGGGCCTGGGAGGCTGACACTAGGGGGCCTGTCAGCATCAGGCAGACAGCTCAGCCCCAGTGGCCCAGAGTTCTTCCAGAGGCAGCTGTGGAGTACAGTTTAAGATTTTCTTAGGAGGGTCCTGGACTTGAAATTGAATGGTGGTTCTGTTCCTGCAGGCTGGGGAAGGAGCTGAGGGACAGAAAGGCCACGCAGACTCAGTCAGGTGGCAGTGGACACCAAGACTGCAGCTCTGGCAAGACGGAAGAGAGTAAGCACTTGTCAAGGCCCCAGGTCAGTGCAGGTGGCACTGGACACCTTGGTACACAAAGTCCACAGGAACCTACTAACGGCTGTCACACAATGGGATTTCTTGTCTGCAGAGGAAGGGGGAGAGGCTCCCAAGAGTTGCCTGGCAAAGGAGGACTGGCTCTGACCCTCACTGGCCACAGCACATAGCAGGTGTGTAGTCACTGGACTCTGAAGGCCCCAAAGCACTGGGCTCAAGTCCAGAAACATCTGCAGGCCAAACCCTGTCAACCTCATATAGGACAAAAGAAAGCGTGCCTTCCTCCAGTTGTGGCCCACACTCACAGAAGTCACCACACGCTTGTGCAAATTCAATACCAGGACAGAGACCCGCTGCCCAACCTAAGGCTCAGTTCTGAGGCACCAGCCTGACGGGTTGGAAAAGAGCCAGGGCAGCTCTGGAGGGTTGGAAAGAGAGGAACGCAGCCGGGCAGAAGCCTCCAGCACATCACAGGGCAGGGGAGGCAGCACCTGCCAAGGACGGGCTAATTCCTCAGGGCAGCCAACCTGAAACCAACAAAAGAAACTCTGGTAAGAAAGGCAGAGGGCAGAGGCACCTGCCATACTGTGTGCAGCACTAGACCTGAACCTAAAGAGAGGACCCACTTAGACTCAGGTTTTCAAAGTTGTCCTGGGATAACGGGTGAAAAGATGCCAGAAACAGCCACACACTGTGACATCCTTAGGAAGAGCATAGAACTTCCTTCTACAGTGAGCTGCTGGCTACAGGGGGTTAACCGCAGCATTCTGACTCTGGGGTGAGCTGCTGGCTACGGGGGTTAACCGCAGCATTCTGACTCTGGGGTGAGCTGCTGGCTACAGGGGGTTAACTGCAGCATTCTGACTCTGAGGTGAGCTGCTGGCTACAGGGGTTAACCGCAGCATTCTGACCTGAGGGGAGCTATGCAGCCCGACAGGTTTCCCTCTGCCCTTCCCAACAGTCCATTAAGTGGAATGGGTCTTCACAAGACCGGGTCGGACAGGACACTAGAGCAGGCCCTGCGGCCCTCCCTTCCTCCCTCCCTGTCAGGCAGCCCTACCTCCGAGACAGCTGGTCCTCCTGGCTGCGCACAGAGCTCTCGCCCACAGCAGAGGCTCCCTCTGGAAGCTGGCTGAGCTGGTCTAGGACCTCCAGGCCATTTTCCTCAGCAATCTGGACAATGAGGCTGTCGACCTGCTCCTGAGGTGTGGTCAGCGTAGTAGCGGAGCTCACAGAATCCTCCATCACCTGAGGGGACATTCACTCTGGGCAGTATGGCCACGGACCCTCCACGGCACCACGAAGCCCACTGCGACTGTTTTGTGTCTGTTGTGGACACATGCAGTACACACTTGTGCTCATGTGTCTGTTGTGGACACGTGTAGTACACATGTGCTCATGTGAAGGCCAGGGCTAAGATTGAGTGTCCTCCAGATACTGCAATCTACAAGCTTGTCACTGAACCCAGTGCTTACACTTAAGCCAGGCTGGCCAGCAAAGCCCTGGGGCTCTCCTGTCTTTGGCTCCCAGTACTAAGCCACGCACCCAGCTTTTATGTGGGTGCCAAGAGCTCACCCTTGTGCCCGCCCTTAGGCTGGCACAGGAAGCACTTCACCCGCTGAGCCATCTCCCCATCTCCAGTGTGGTTCCTGCTCTCTTTCCCCTCACGGGCTTCTCCAGGAAGCCTTCCCTGGCTCCCTCGGCCTTCCTGCCCCAGATCTGCCAGTCCCACCTCAGAGTCCACCCAGTTCACAGAGCTTACTGAACTTCTATGTGCTTGCCTACCCTGTGGGCCCCCCCAGAAAGGCTGGTGTCCCGTATCCAGCTCTGTCCAGTCACCCTGACACACTGTCCAGCCAGAGAACAGTGGCCACCTACCGATGTGTGCACATCCAGGTTCTGCACCTGCTGCTCAAACCTGTCCATCACTGCAGACACCTTTTGAAGATCCATGGCACTCAGGGCCTTGTCCAGAGCTTTGGTAACCTGTGCCATATTCTTGGTCACCTGGGATAGAAGAGGATTAGGGATAAAAACAGTAACAGGTGGCCAAGGACTGCAGACCAGGGACAGGCTATCAGGACTTTCTGATGAGAACCCAGGGCCTCAGCTCAGTCACTTGACCACAACCGATGGCACAGGAGTCCTCTGGGTCTCTCCACTTTGAAGGGAAGCTCTGCCGAGGAGCCAGGAGCTCCATCTAACTCCCAGCCTCGTGTGGAACAATACTGACCAAGCTTTCCTGAGGCCTCCTGTGTCCAGCTCTGCCTGCTGGCCAGGTCCTCTGCTGGTCCAGCTTCTCTCTACTCTAGAAGTGCACCGTGCCTGCCAGTAAACCCTACAACACACACTGCCCACATAGCCCCGGGCTCTGGTACTTACCCCCTTCATGGTCACAGCTGTCTGCACCTTGGAGGCCACCGCGTCCACACGGGACGCCATCCGGAGCCAGTTTACTCCTTCATTCTTCTTGCGGATGGCGTTCTCAGCGTACACACGGGCACACTCCACATTCTTCTGCTGAAGGGCCTACAATTCATAGGGCAATACTCATGGCGGGACATTTGTGAGCAGCCTGCATTCTTCTCCAGGGTATGCTTTACCACTGGGACAGCAGGAGACTTTCCGGTTTCCCTAGGTGTAATCCTCAGGAATGGGTGAGCTTTGTAAAACTGTAATGCCACAGTCTGGAGTATGGGCATCCAGAGGGAGGGGTGTCACAGACCAGCCATGAGGTCCAGTCTGCTGTTCCTCCAGAGCCACACTGTACAGCAAAAAGGTGACAAAGGCCAAAGGAACCATAGTGGGGAGGGCAGAGCTTCACTGAAGTCTGAGATGTGCGCCATGCGCCATCACCACGGCCACAGCCTCGAACCAACAGTAAAGAGCAGGACACAGCCGGGCGGTAGTGGCGCACGCCTTTAATCCCAGCACTTGGGAGGCAGAGGCAGGCGGATTTCTGAGTTGGAGAGTTTGAGGCCAGCCTGGTCTACAGAGTGAGTTCCAGGACAGCCAGGGCTACACAGAGAAACCCTGTCTCGAAAAACCAAACCAAAAAAAAAAAAAAAAAAAAAAAAGAGCAGGACACATGGCTGAAGTCTGCTCTGCGGCCATGTGACGGTTTTGTGTATCCTAAAGACACACAGGCCTTCCTGCAAAAACCTCAGTGAGTTTCCACCTCTGCCCAACTCTACGGAGCCAAGATCAACAACCCTCTGCCTGGATTGTGATATGCTAGGCTGCAGCCCTGAAGGAAAGAAAGCCAGTTGAAGGCACGGGAGCAAGGACAGCTAAGAGGCCATGCCTTGACAATTCAGGATGTTGAAAGGAGAAAGGAGCCGTGAGGGCCATGCATCTGGGCTGCTCTGGACATCACTGTGGGTGTGGGCAGGGAGCGCAGAGGAGGATGGTTACTCCTCCCTCAGGCTTGCTTCTCAAGTATGAAACAAGTGTGTTAACACTCTGAAATTGGTGAGATTAAATCACAACTCTGGAAGAGTCTGGTGCAAAAAAAAGACATTAGAGTAACACGGAGGGAAACAAGGCCGGGTGTGGCGGCTCCTACCTACACTTGTACCAAAGGTGAAACTGAAGTAGGGTATGTCAAGTTTGAGGTTAGCCTGGGCCTCACAGTGAGTTCCAGGTCATCCTTGACTACAGTACTCAATGTCAATGATGAAATGAAATACAATAAAATACAGGGGCTGGGGAAGAAGGACCCCAGCCCAGAGAAGTCACACACCTTCTTCACTTTGGCCTGCTCAGCCTTGGAGTCCTTCTCTGCCTTCTTGGCCAGCTTCTCCAGCTGCTTAGCTGTGAACTAAGCAGAAAGCATGACATCCTGAGACGCACAGGGGAGCTCACCCTTTACCCTGGACCTCCTGCCCCTGCCTGTCCTTGGCCCAACCCAGTACTAAGGCACAAAGTCCAGACAGACACTGTGGGCTGTTAGAAAATGCAACAGTCTCAGGGATGACTCCCCCTAAAGCCCCACCCGGTTCCTAGGCCCTGTGTGCAAGGGGAGGCTGCAACAGGCTTCCTAAATCTTTGTTAACACCCTAACCTATCCTCCCCTAGAGCGGAAGGCCAACAAGACAATGAACTCTCACCAATCCTGCCCTGTATATGAAGGACTTTCAACTCACAGAAAGTACAGAGAACTCTTTCAGGCCCCCCAAGCAGTGATGTAAATTCCTCTAAGTCTCTGTGGAGAACTCTCATACCCAGCTTCCTCACTTTCCCACAGAGGAAATGTCACCATACCCAGGACCCCTCTGCCAACGGGATTCAAGGGCACCAGAGCCGTGTTATCTCACTCCTACCCAGATCCTCAGAGCCAGGGAGGAAGAAGCCAGAGAAAGTTAACTCTGTCACCTGTGAGGCTCTGGAGCAAAGGGACAGAAGCATGCCATGGGTTAGCAGGCGGGTAACAGACACTTCCCAGGAGGAAGCACTTTCAGTTGCCCATAAAACACTCTTTCAAGTCCTTAAAGTTCAGTCTGTGGTTTTAAATACTTAGCAAAACATCAAAGCATGCCTGTATCGCCCAGTTGTGTTCTTAAAGATAATACTCAGTCCTCAGGTAAGTTTGAGGGATCTGCTTCTGCTTAGCCAAAACCAAGGAATGACCCTGTTCGGACAGCTGTCTGAGCCCTGTGTAGCTGCCACTCAATTCCAAACGCTTTCCCGTGACTCTGGGCTCTGGGTTCCAAGCGCCACAGCCGCTGTGACTCTCGCCGCTATTTCCTTGTTCCCAGGACAGGATTTTGTACAAACCTTCAACTGGAACAGGGTGTCTGCAAAGACAGAGGACACAGCTTCAACAACTTGAAGAAACGTAATAAGCAGCACATCTGACGAGCCAGTGGACTCGGGTGGGATCCCTGCAGACTCTCGGGCTGGCTCACGCCAGACACACAGGCCCAACAGTGCAGTCAGAAGACAAAGCCATGTCAGACACAGGGCTTCAAACAAACAGGGACCCTTGCTAGTCGTGTCTGTCAGGAACACAGGATGGCAGCAGCCAATCTTACAGGGTTACTTTAAGAACAGACAGGGTGGGAGAGCAGTGGTGGTGCACGCCTTTAATCCCAGCACTTGGGAGGCAGAGGGAGGAGGATTTCTGAGTTCAAGGCCAGCCTGGTCTACAGAGTGAGTTCCAGGACAGCCAGGGCTACACAGAGAAACCCTGTCTCTTGAGAGGAAAAAAAAAAAAGACAGACGGGGTGATGTATGCAGCTCTTGCCCATGGTCAGAATGGAGATGGTGGCTTACAATTTATACAATTCTACAAGACACGTGGCTCTTTGCCTTGAGTACCAAATGTAATGTTTAGTACTTAATGGTTGGTTTTGCACAGCCTTTCCTTTATCTTCCCAAAGGCAAATGACTGGTGTGGTGGTAAGCCTGAGTCACCACACAGGCCACTCCATGACAGATGGCATTTCTAAGCCATAGTACCAGGCTCCAGCACACACTGTACCCGCCTGCACTAAGCCAAGGAAGGGACTAACCAAACTAGCTACTCATTCGCAAACTTGGGACGGGCAAACTCAATTTCTTACTTATTTTTGATGTGAGACAGGATTTCCACTCACTAAGTAGCCAAGGATGGGGACACTTTGACCTCCTGACCCTTCTGTCTCTATCTCCTGAGGGCTGGCATTACAGATGGAGCCACCACATCAGGGAACTGGCTGCGTGTCTAAATCTGCAGAGTGCTGTCATACTTGATTCCTGAAAAGCCTTGCCCTAGCCATGCAGACTGGGGGCACCGAGGGTCTGCAGATGCAGACGAGGCCCGCCAGAGACCTGCTGGGCTGCAATCACCTCTGGGCATCTCCGGCCACTCGGTGCAGGGTGAGGGTGACACAGTGACTGGAGGAACAGTGTCACCGAGGTGTGGCCCAGCCATCTCACTAGCTTTGGGACACTGGCCAAATGCCCCCATCTTAGCCTGTACTTTCATCTAGACTCTAAGGGGACTGGACTCTGAAAATCGGGAGAACCCTGGTGTGAGCTTAAGAAAAATTCCCTCACAAGAGCTGAGGGACTGTGACTCTAGGCAAAGTTCCTTATTGCTGAGATGCCGGGTGCTCCATCTTCTTCCCGGAGGACACAGTATAGAATTCTTATGTATTTCTTCCACGACAATGACACAGTACTATAGCTTTCTACATTTCAGAAAACAGTATAAAATAGAACAAAACCTCTGTCACAGCCCTAGGAGGTGGCACAGATCTTTAATCCCAGCAGTGGGAGGCAGAAGTAGGCAGATCTCTGAGTTCAAGGGCAGCTTGGTGTACATAGTAAGTTCCAGGCCAGCCAAGGCTATACGGAGAGACTGTCTCAGACAAACAAAAACTCTATCACACTAGCCCATAAAACCTATTAGGAGTTCTTTGGGACTCTAGAGCTGGGACCACGGCAGGTGAAGTGACTCATATCATCATGGGTGGTTCCCTCCCAACCTGTTAACCTAAGGTTAACATGTAACTCCCATCTAAAGGAGCCACTAGGAGGGAACCCATATCCTACTGCTTGGTACTGGAAGTCCTTTGTATCCGAATTACTCCTATTTCTCTGGATACTCTTCTGGTGCCTTCTGACCACATTCCAGGGTCCCCAAAGCAGAACAAAACAAACAGGGAGGGTGGCTAGGAGAAGGGCCTGGATCGGAAGTCATTTGGACAAGATTCAAGGTTTGGGTCCCGGGTGTAGGGTGCAGGCCTGGGGAGATCTGGGTAAGGAACAAGACCCAGGAGTTAAGAGCTGGCCCGGGTCTGGAGTCAAGAATCGGAAGCTAGTTTCTGTTGGGTTGTGGGATCGAGGCCCAGGACAGGGTTTCAGCTAGGATGTAAAGGATCAGGCACCAGGTCAGGCCGGTTCTGGTCGGTATGTGGGCTGCAGGCCCGAGGGCAGGTCCTAGTCGGGGTCTCAAGCTGAGGCAAGGGGCGGATCCCGATCCAGACCCACGGTCGAGGTAAGTGGGTTCCAGGCCCGGGGACAGTCTGGGGCTGGAGCCCGGGGCGGGTCCGGCTGGGTTATGGGGCTGAGGCGAGATGTCTGCAGAATCCCGCTCCGAACCCGAAGTGGATGACAGCCCCTTACCGTCCATGGCCAGGCGGGCAAGCACACCCCTCGGGGCGGCGCAGGGGACGAGCTCGTACGGACCAGCTGTAGCCGTGAGGACTTCCGGGGTCGCTACCGCTTCCGGTCGCGCGGCCTGCTCTCGCGAGAAAGCGGCCTTGGGCGGGGCTTAGGCCCCTGGCGCTCGGCACGCGGTTGCCATGGTAATGAGCGCCCAGAGCGGAGTGTGGGTTTTGTGAGTCGGTCGGGTTACTGGGCCCCGAGGCCGCCCGGCTGGGGCGGCGGGGCTCACCTATGGGCCAGTCGAGAAGCAAACCCAAAGAGAACAAAGGTAAAGGGCGCCGCCCGGCGGCGAGGCCCGCCCTCCGTGCCGGCGTCCCCGGGCTGTAGGTCTAACGGCTTGTCCGTGTGTTTCAGTTGAGGAGGAGAAGGTGAGCACTTCCACTTTAGTTACAAAATCTAAGGAGAAAGTAATGGAGAAGGAGGCCAAGCAGCCTGACAAGGAGTCTCAGCCTGCCGAAAGCCTGCTGTTCGGGACAGGGACATCCAAGCACTCGAGGCCTTCGTCTGCCTCTGAAGGTAGGAGACCCGAGGAGACCAGCCACGTCCGAGGCATCAGGGACGGGTCCCCGTTTGTAAGAATAAATGATACAGGCGGTAAATATCCAGGACAGGCGAGCAGCAGCACGGGCAAGCTTATTGCCCTTGACTCCAGTCTAGGCTGTAACAGGGATTTCAGGGGCATCTTGTATATATGGAGACCCTGTTTCAGAAGGAAAAAAAAAATTAGGAAGAAACTTGAGTGATCCATACAGTGTTCCCCCCGACACACACACACACCAAAGAGAGTAGTAGAGTGCTCTCTGGTCCCACAGTGATTCCCTTCAACATGTTACATGGAGCGGAACCTGGAGGGATTGTCCAGGCTGCAGTGTGACTCCTGAGCGGCCACAAAGATGGGAGGGCTTCTCAGTTAGAAAGGATGACGAATGGGACACAAGTGTTTCTTTTCACACCTAGTGTTTGGCAGACACCAGAGATTGCTGCCGACCCCCACTTTTCCTTGAGGCAGACGTTTGCCGTATTTCTTCATTTTATAGTAGCGCAGTATGGCCACGCCTTTGGCGTGGAATTGGTGGAGACCAGACCACAAAAAGCAGAAGGAAACTTATGTACGTGCCACCCCAGTTTAAAGCAAGGGAGGCGTTAGGAACTGTGTGCTTTGTCTTTTTGCTTCCAGAATGGAGGCCTGTTATGAAAAGCAGAACCCTAGGAGGACCTACCCCAAGCTCACTGCCATAATCTGGTAGAATCCAGAGGCGCAGTAGCGGAAGACAGTTGAGAAGGCTTGGAGGTAGAAAGAGTAGACCCTCCTCTCAGATGAGAAAAAGGTTGAGGTACCCGTGGGACTTCAGGTGCTGCACAGAAGAAGGCGGTTTGAAATCCAGGTGCTGAGATTGGGAAAGCGGTCTGACCGCCTAGGGGCCCCTCATTTGAGGCTAGAAGGCTACGCAGAGGCTGCAGACCTAGGGAGGTTTGTGATGTGATACTTGTCCCTCAGAGTGCTTTTAGCTGATTACAGAAAAGCCAACTAAACAAGATTTTGTCACCTTGTGGTTTGATGTCTCACCAAAGAAGGGCCGGAGATGGCGACCACCGTGTTTACTGCACAGCACAGCATCAGCATCAAGGGCTGTGTGCTCCATTGTGCCACCTTCAACATCAGGGATGTCTTCCTTCACAGTGCCAAGGCATCTGGAAGGCTGCAGCATCACAGGCACAGAAGACCACGCTGACTCTTAAGAGATTTGGGGTCTCACTTGCTGTTGGCAAGGAAATCTTTCTGAGGTAGGCTTCATCTGCCCAACCTCTCTAAGATGGATTCAGTTCTACATGTCTGTGAAGTGCCAGAGGAGTCATAAGGTATCAGGGTAGACATGGCCTTTGCCAGCAAGGAGCTACCCATTTGAAGGCCACCTGTGACACCTGTCACACAGTGTCACATTGGGAGGAAAAGCAGGTGAACATGAAGAGAAACCAAGTGATTCTGGTGTCAAGAAAAGATGTCGGGGCAGGCTCAACCATCATAGGAACAAAGCCACTGACACATGAGACCCTGGAGGGAGCCTCAAAGCGTGATGTCAGATGAAGTCAGGTGTAAATGTCCATAGACACCAAGACTTTCTCTCTATGAAAGCCTTGAGCTCACAGTCCTTTTGCTGCAGCATCCAGCAGTATATGAGCTGTCATGCCCATTTGGAAATGATTCTAAAACCGAACAGGTTGGGCATGGAGTTATAGTGCCAGCTACTCAGGAGACTGAGACAGCAGGATCATGTGAGCCCAACCTGGGCAACATTGTGTTTTCAAAGCCCTGGGGAGAGTACCTACTATACAAGAAGCACAAAGGTGTGGGTTCCTTCACCAGCACCCCATAAAGCAGGCACCGTAGCATATGCCTGGAATCTTAACACTTAAGACAGGAAGAGCATGAGTTCAGGAGAAGCTGTCTTTACATGGAGTGTTCAAATCCAGCCTGGGCTATGTGATACCCTGGAGAGTTGACTCAGCAGTTAAGAACACTTGCTGTTCTTACAGAGGGCCTGGGTTCAGTTTCCAGAATCCATTTGGTGGTTCACAGCTATTTATAACTCCAGCTCCAGGGGAACCAGTGCCTTCTGACCTCTGTGGGCACCAGATATGCACATAGTATATACACACACACGCACACATACACAAAGTAACCCATAATTGCCCCCCTCTGAGCCGCCGAGGCTCTGGGTTGCACCATATTTGGGAACCCTGGGCTGGAGCTTTGAGTGGACATTAGGTGACTGTAGGCTCTGGCCTTTGAGGCTTCACAGCCTGTTCCTGTCAACAGCACTTGCGGCCCAGATAAATCTTCAGAGGACACAGCCTGGAAATAACCCAACTTCACCTACCCAGGGCCTCAAGTGAGAGTGCCTAGGGAAGCCTGACCTGAGTTCCTAACCCAGAACAGTGAAAACCTCATTCTTTTAAGCTGCGAGGGCTTGGAGTCAGTTGTCACACAGCAGTAATATTCAGATCAAGGGGTAAATGGTGGTGGAGAGAGGAAATTGTGTATCATGTCTAGAGCACTCCTGTAATCCCCGACCTCAGAAGGGCAGGGCTGGAGGGCCGTGCACTTCAAGCAGGTTGAACTACATACTAAAACCCTGTTTTGTTTTGTTACCTAAAAAAGGTATCACGGAAGCTTGTAGCTAGGGTATGTTAGTCTACACATACTGTATCTGTATGCTTAAGGTATTTTTACATTGAAAATTCCACAAATATATACAAAGAGATTAGGACACCACAGATGTACTACCAGCCTATTCTACAATGTTGAACGTTCTGTGCCCCACATGACCCAATTCCCTCAGCACATAAAAGACGGAGAAGGAGTTGGAGAGATGGCTCAGTGGTTGAGACCTTGCACTGCTTTTCCAGAGGACCTGCGTTCAGTTCTGAGCACCCATACTGGGTACCTCACAACCACCTTTAATTTCAGTTTCAAGAAAAAGATGCCATCTTGTGTGTGACTTCTGTGAGCACTGCATTCATGCACAAATTCATAATCTGACACACACAAAATTAAAATAAGAAAAAGGGGATTTTTAAATGAACCAAAGGGTGTAGACCTGAGCCGGGTCGTCTTCACAGCCAGTTTGGATATTAGATGATGATAATGAACAGTTGATCCTGGCCCGCGGTGTGGACAGTTGATCGTGGCCCGCGGTGTGGACAGTT